CAAAGTAAGTAAGTAAGTAAGACTGGTAGCCCAGTCACTTGTCACGCTCGGTTGCGTAAACGAGCAAATTGACTCACGGCAGCTAGAAAGCCTAGGCGGAAATCCAAAGGTCGTATTACCTGAAGAATCAACCTTCATTTGCAAAATATCTACTGCTCTCAAAATTAAAGTCAGAACTTTCTAACCAAGGATTACCAGTTGAAACAGGTCGATGGCTGAACATTCCCAGGGAAGACAGCCAGTGTCCACTCTGTGAATCTATCGCTGTGGGAGATGAATTGCATTATTTATTCCAATGTGAAGCTTTTCACCAAAGGCGATATGAACTCTTAAATAAGCAATATCTTAAGTTTCCAAACATTTAAGAAAATTATGACCACTAACAGTGTAAGAAATCTAAAAGGCCTATCTAAATTCCTTAACAATGTGTACAATACAATTGGTAAATTGTATTAGTATCCACGTATCCTATTTTTATTATTTTTGTTAAATTTTACATAATAAAAATTGTAGATAATTGTATGTCATGTTATTCTAAGAATAAATGAGTTTGAGTTTGAGTCCGACACCCGAGAAGAAGCCAGAGATTAGTGCTCCTTTTTGAATAGTTTACAATCATGTGTTTTAGGGTTAGCTGTGTTGGCTTAAAAGTATTTTTATTTCAAAAGAAATCTGGATCGGTAAACAAGCAAAACTTGCTTATGTAATACCTCTCCAGGTAAGAACTTAACAATAGGGGGATATATATAAGAGAGTGATGAACATAAACATACAAAATGCACAAATGAAATACACGAAGCCAATACACTGAAGCAAGTGGGGTCGGTGAAATAAGGTAATGCAGTTTTCCTTTACTACATGCATAAAATTAAGCTACTCAAACCTTTTGCTTTTGACAATGATGTCGTGAACTGATTTAAGAAGAGTCATGTTTGTAGAACTGCTTAACTACTGCCACGTAATATCATTTTTAGACCATACCCATGTGTGTAGAAATACACAGTGTTTCTGATATTATCGTATTTTTTGACAGTTATAGAAAAAGTGAATTGCATCTTCAAGGTGATATCCACAAGTGCAGTCTGGTATGTCTGATGCATGTCGTCTAAACTTATCAGCGTTTAAGTCACTGCATCCGAGCCTAAGGCGACAGTGGACAATTTGGCATGATCTATGAAAACATTTGAAGTCAAAATTATTAGTAATTGCATCAGAACGATTAATTAATGATTTGATTTCTTTTAATGAGCGAGCATTAGTTACTTCATCATATAGAGGGTTCCGCAGGTTGATCATATCCAGAAGAAATTATTATTAAGCATAGGTCTGTGTTCTACATTTGATTGTTTGTATGTTGAATCTATTTCTAAGGTTATATTTGCTGTTATCAGAGAATTGAATATACACTTTTCAAATATTTTGGCTGAGTAACTTGTGAGTGCTACAGGTATATAATTTGAGCATTCATGTTCATCGCTGACACTGACACCGCATCAGCCCGGCAGTGGACTTGACACAGTTATTTGCGCACCGATTATATAACTCCTACAGACAGGGTGGGGTGGTTGTTTAAAGCGAAACGGACGACCCCGTCTGTTATCTAATAAATGCTGTGCGGCGCCTTTGATCTTGCCTCAAAACATACACCTTATAGTAGTAAACGACGATCAGGATGGCCTGGAAATAAACACAATTCTGTCTGCCCAGTGTATCCACAATTAACTATAATGCTTCATATCCACAAATATATATATAGAAAATAGATATTTGCCCACAGCAAATATTCATTTGCTTAATTGCATCAGTATGGTTTATCAGAACATGTACAATGCTTTCTTATGCTTGGTGAGGCAGACTGAAATTGAACATTAGGATAACGTCAGCAGGGATAAAAGAGGTCATACCAAAGAACTTTAATTACTAGTGGAAAAGTCAGACATTCCGATCAACCACTACAAGGCCCGGCCGGATCTCAAGGTTGACCAGATCAACACCCCAAAGGAACATCTCTACGCCAAACAAGGAGTCCCTTTCGTCATGGTGCACAAGAAGGGGGGTCAGGACATCGAGTACGACATCACAAACTACACATCACACTACCGCCGCCCTCCTTGCCAAGAGTCTCTACCAGAATCCCAACCCCCAGGATGAGAAGCTGACCAAGAGACTACTAGAAGGATACCGCCGCTAGACTTCTAGCCACACATGCTCGCCAGCCAACGCCGTGCCTTCCCACGCTTGCCCCCCCCCCCCCCCCACCCCCAGGCCCAAACTTTTCCATATTATTGAATATTCTTTTATCACCCACTCCCACCCAGCCAAACCCCAGCCCCTTTAACTTTATTAGAATAGGCTGTAAACGTATATATCTTTTTTGGGGGGTGCACTTCTTTATTTAATCATTACGCTTTTTTACCCTAATAGTATAAGTGCTTCCCCGTGTGCGAGGTAGGCTTAAGTCGGAAAGCGCACGTTAAATCTCCGAGGTACCTATCTACTAGAACTTTATTTGCTGTTCTGCTCATACATAAATATATGTAAGTTACGTACATGGGGAAGCTAGATTATTTACAGCTAACATCAATATAGTGCAAATATTTTGTTCAATAAAAGAAAACGTTGATAGATCTATAACACACTTTTTGTACTATTAAACAAACTGTTGACTTTTAAGACATTTTCGCTTATTGTAATAACATCTAGCTAACAAATCATGTCTATCTCTGAAATCCACAAGCATAGTTGCTGTAAAACCTAAAAAACATATTCAGGGAGGTCAGTTTTGACTTGCCAAGCACCTTAAGGTGAGTTTATTTTTAAACTGTCAAAAGCGATTGTCCCTTCAATACTGGTATATGGCTGGAAGCTGTTTCTCGGACTGTTATGAGTTATGATGTATTTTATGATATTACTGGGGAATGTTCAAATTAGTTACTGTCATTTAATCCAACGTTCTAACTGTCAACTGTCTCAACAGGACCATAGGTTTGGTTATATATCTCCTCCCTGTCTCTATGTCTTAAGTTGTTAATCGGTAACTGCGGTCCAAATGTATCAACTTATTCATCTATTGTTGCAAACTTGACTGATTTAAACATATCTAATTGATCATGAACTACTCAGTCAGTCAAGCACCTGTATCAGAAATGTAAAACCAGCCATGTTTCATGTAGTCCCAATATCACTGAAAAATGCCGATGAAACGTGACATATAAATTTACTCACAGACAATATATTTTTCGTGAGAGTGAAGCACAATTTTATTAAAGTTTTATTAACAATTTCATAAACTATAATAATATTAATATTAAAATTATTCATCACTTGCCAAGTTTATGAACATGTCCCCATTTGGGAGATGTCACATATAAACAAGGATTCGAACTAAGTTTGATCGTCTTTGACACTGAGGTTTATCCCCACTTTGCCAGCAAACTGCAGAAGATTAACAGTGAGTGAGCATCGTTTCTATGTTTATACAAGAAAAGATGTTATGCCAAAAACGCTCACAGTAGTTAGTGAGTAAACTCACGACCTGTCATGACCTGGTTGAGTGACTTCCTCCAATCAACGTGAAAGGATTACCCACAGAGAAAGAAAGGATTAAAGTCACCCATAAATCTTATCCTAACGTAGTACTCCAACTTCTAAATGCCTCTCAAAGAAGGATTAAAATCCTAAATATATCCTATCTACGTGGTATAGGTACTCACAACCTCTAATAATAAACTGTTACGTTTGGTATCCCCAGCAATACTCACTATGGTCATTGGGCAAATGTAAAAATCACAAACCCTAACGAGATTCTGTCTACATGGTCACACCCGGTGATTGTGAAGATCTCAAATTCTATCAACAGTCAGATAGCATGGCTGTTCATATTCATTTACAACATCCTCTTATAATTAGTATAAAAGTGTCCCACACAAAACCTTCTTTTATTTATTCTTTCAAAATACAAAACAGAAAGTGGGGTGTGGGGAAATGGGACATATTCCTACGTGAAATAATGAGACATTAGTAGTGGTGACGGCTATATCATAATTGTACTGTCTAAAGCATACATTTGGCGAACGAAAAACGTTATATTTGCAATCAAATGGAATGACTCGTGTGGGCAAATGAATATGTTCGCAATCCACAAACAATCATTTTATTAATGGCGAACATTTACCAACCCGCGACAATCGTGTCAACACGGGGGTTCCCCTAGCAATAAACTTGCATCTAAATTCACTACTGTTCTACTGTCGGCTAGCCACAATGGCTAGACGGGACCCTAGTGGAATGGTTCATGCCATAAAAGTCTAACAACCGAACACTAATTAAGACGGGCCGACCTTGTATTTACGGTCTGGTGAACACAGCTCAATGGCCGCTCATTAACTCAAATTTCAAATCTCACTGTTTTGTTTTATCTCACTATTCATTTGATAATTTTGTCAACTTCAACTGGAACCCGGTCCCGTGTTACACGCGTGGCACACGCGTGTGCAACGGGTTGCACACGCGCTGCACACCCGTTGCACACCCGTGTGCAACGGGTGCTCACCCCGTGTGCAACCCGTTGAGCACCCGTGTCACATGCGTGTTACACGCGTTCTCAACGCGTGTTAGGGGAATGAACTTTTAGGCAGTAGTGTACGTGTCACTTGACAAACCATACCCGTGAAGATCCGGGGTAGAATAGGTCTTCAGCAACCCATGCTTGCCGTAAAAGGCGACTATGCTTGTCGTAAAAGGCGACTAACGGGATCGGGTGGTCATGCTCGCTGACTTGGTTGATGCATGTCATCGTATCCCAATTGCGTGGATCGATGCTCATGATATTAATCACTGGATTGTCTGGTCCAGACTCGATTATTTACAGACCGCCGTCATATAGCTGGAATATTGATGAGTGCGGCGTAAAACAACAAACCAACCAACCAACTACTTGACAAACCTTACACTTCAATTTCAAACTTGATTCCTAAAAAAGATCATGTATATGTTGACAGAAGTGGGATGACGGTCTGGCAGACACTGCCCAAAAGCACGCTGACAAGTGTCTTTGGGAGCATACACCTGATGGCGAGAGACAATGGGGTGAAAACATGGCTCAGCTCAGGTTTCCAGAGGCTAAGTATCTTGATTTATACAGCCATTCGAAGATGATAGACATCCTGGTGACTGAAGGTATGACTGGATTCACGTCTTGGAATGGAGAAGAGGTCATTGACGTCAAACGTGACTTTTCATGCGCTAAAAAAGGATGGACTGGGGAGACATGTGGTCACTACACACAGGTTGGTAAATATTGGCTGTTTAGATATGTTCGAGTTTAACACAGTTGTCATCAGGTCTGTTTTAGTTGCTCACAAGGTAATAGCACGACGTTTGAGGAACATTTAACGTTGCCATTTTCCAGAACACCGTATCATAACGCTACATCAATGCGTCAGCTACAGCAACACATTGTCAAGGTATCAATTAGCATGACACTTTAACAATGCGTCTTCTGTGAGGACACTTTATTTATGAGTCAGTTGCCATGGCGGTCCTGCTACAATACATATTGAGTGAGCTGGGTTTAACGCCGCTTTTAACAGTATTCCAGTTATACCACGGTGTGTCAGCATAATGTGGGAGGAAAGCCCGAAGTGATGCAGGTCTCAGACGTTTACCACTTCGGTGAAACCCACGAGCACGGGTATGGTGCTGACAAACCTAGAAACATAATCGGGACGAACCGGGATTCGAACACACGGTCTTAGTTTTCTGGCGTGCCCAAGGGACGCATCTCTGAAGAGCGAATCGCGGCGCCTCAGGCGACTGGGCCACCCGTGTCCCCGCTACAATTCATAAGTGGGTGGATTAAAATAAATACTTATACAATGATACATTTGTACAAAAAATGACATTAGTCTTATATACCATGGCTAGATTTACACAAAGAGCAAGTTCTCGATTGACATTTTCCTTTCTGTATCTAACACTGAATCGCGTTGTCTTAAACGAAATTTTATCAACACAATACATTTTCGGTAATCATCAATAGGTCGGTTAATATCCGCACACACTTAATCCATAACATACGACCATTGGCTCAGGCGTAACAACGCTCTGTCAGTTGAAACAAATACCATAACGCTTCATCAATGCGTCATTTCTATGTTAACAAAACGTCTATATGAGACCCGCGAAGATACGGGTCAGATCGGTCTTCAGCAATCCATGCTTGTCGCAAGAGGCGACTAACGGGATCTGTCTGTCTGTCTTCGTTGATCCATGTCATCGTGTCCCAACTGCGTAGGTCTATGCCCATGATGTTAATCACTGGATTGTCGCATCCAGACCCGATTACTTACAGACCGACGTCATGTAGCTGGAATGTTGAATCTGGCGTTGAACAGCAAACAAACAACAAGGCATGTATGGTTCTCCTAGCCACCAAACAGTAACGAAATCATTTCTGTTTTGATCATAGGTGGCGTGGCACTCCTCCACAAAGATTGGCTGCGGGGCCAAAAACTGCTTAGACTTCACTCAGAACAAGGACCCCGAGGAAATTCAACACAACGTATGGATACTAGTCTGCGCCTACTTGAAGCCGTATGTTCATTTACATATTCTTCAAAATACATACATACATCGATACATACGTGCGTGCGTGCGTGCGTGTGTGCATACATAGGCGCATAAGTCCATATGGTTGAGGCGACCACAGGCTTCTCGTATGGGTCAACAGAATTAAGGCTCCTCCTTTGTCTGATGGAATATAAGTGAATAATCTTTAACCTCACCTCACCTCACCTCACCTCACCTCACCTCACCTCATCATCAACATCACATCACATCATCATCAACATCATCACATCACATCACATCACCAATGGAAACAGTACTTCGTGAACATCAAAAGATGTCAAAAAGCGTCCGATGGTTCCTAGAATGCTATCAGATGAAATTAAGGCTACGCTGGTCAGTACCTCGCGATCGAATGCTACGTTAACCTCATATTATCCATTAGCCAGATGATTTCCACGTTAGGTAGTGACAACTGGTGATACCTGGAACCATTACGGATTTCCCCAAACCAAGAAATGTGAAGCAAAAAGATCCACTTAGAAGGTTATGGCCACCTTCCTTTGGGACAGCAAAGACATAATACACATCGATTTTTTTACAACGGGGAACAACCATGATTGGTGAATGTTATGTCAACAATTTAAAATATTGCACAATTCTATGATTTGGTTGGTTGGTTGGTTGGTTGGTTGTTTAACGCCGCACTCAGCAATATTCCAGCTATATAACGGCGGTCTTAATAACCGAGTCTGGACCTGACAATCCAGTGATTAATATCATGAGCATCGATCCACGTAATTTGGATCGATGACATGCATCAACCAAGTCAGCGAGCCTGACCACCCGATCCCGTTAGTTGCCTTTTACGACAAGCATAGTCACCTTTTACGGCAAGCATGGGTTGCTGAAGAGCTATTCTACCCCGGATCTTCACGGGTCCACAATTCTATGAAAGAGAAGCTTAACGGCAAACTTCAACGTGGCGTTCTCCTTCAGGAAAATGCTTCAGTCAGTTCATACATGCCGTACATCCACTTTCATCACCAGAACTGCCCCGAGTGACTACCACCAGTTTTTTAGAAATTTAGTGTAAAACTTCAACACCAGAGGACAGGACAGGATTTCATCTTCTACCGAACAGGAAGAACTGACCTGGGGAAGAGATGGAACACGTGTATTGAACTGTAAGGGGACCTTATTAAACCATGAATAAAGCTCACTATAATATTCCCGTTATGCCAGGCTAAAAACATTTAGATGCCTCTCTCGAATTAATTTCAGTTGGATCATATCATGACCCTTGCATAATGTTTTCTTAACTGAGTAAGTGAGCGAGTAGGCTTCCTTATAGCCATATTCAGCTTTTGGGCACAGCGGGGCGGTGAAGGGGGTGCACCAGAAATAACCTTCATGCCTCCCCAACATTGGTAATAGAACCTGAGATTCGGCGGGACGAACCATTGCTTTAATCACTTGATTACATCGATCCTCTCTCAAGCAATAATGTATGAAATATGTTCAGAAAGTGTCTCTAAATATTTATCTTAATATCTTAATCAGATATGATCAGTTTTATTATCAGCTGAAGTCAACTGAATGAGAGAAATTGTATATCATATCACACAAATGTATCAAGGCGAATGTGCTTGTCGTAAGAGGCGACTAACGGGATCGGGTGGCCAGGCTCGCTGACTTGGTTGATGCATGTCATCGATCCAAATTACGTGGGTCGATGCTCATGATATCAATCACTGAATTGTCTGGTCCAGACTCGATTATTTACAGACCGTATTTACAGATCAGGGTAAGGGAAATGTTGTCACACTCTGTTATCCTACCTGGTGCTGGTTAGAGTAGCCTGTATATACAGTAGCACTGACATGACTCTCATCAAATAGTACAAAATTAGCAGCCACGTAAGGGATCTATTTTTACACAAAATACACACTCGTTTGCTTTTCCAATCACGATTACATAATGTAAACAGTTGATTCCCCCTACTACAGGATATAATATGTGAACAATTAAAGTGAAATATTTAACACTGTTGAGCTTTATGAATTAGGTTAGTGTTGGTCATCTTTCCTCGATAATGTTCAACATGTACTGTTGTTAAAGAAATGCATTTATCTCTTCTCTCATTGACTTACTTGGCATTCAAAGATATGTAGATATCTGTCTCCTTATACGTATATGAATTTGAAGCTGTGTTGAATTGTACTTATGTTATGCCTGTCTATTTTACTGTGTTAGCCACATGAAGTTGAATTTATCATACCTGAATGATGATATCTGATTGGTCCACAAGATCTTGATAAAATACTGTGTATTGCGTAATGGAGGGGAATACATTTTCCAGCGGGGAAATCAATCTCTTATACCCCTCCACGAGCAAGTCAAGCTGGACGTGGATTTCTGAGAGGCAAAATAAATCCCTTATGCCCCGCTTCACAACAAAAAGCCGTATGAAACATGCTACATATCATGGGGAGGGGTACAGTCCCCGCCGTTTTACGTCGAACACCTGTTTCACTTCAGGCTATCCTCACATTAAAGGCTGACATGCCGTGGTATAACTGAAATTCTGTTCAAAGTTGAGTTGCACCCATCTCACACATTCACATTTTAATGCATTGTCTATGTACGTTTTAGCGGTAATCTGGAAGGAGAGGATGCCTTTAAGAAGGGAAAAGCATGTTCCGCCTGTGAAGGAAGTGACAAATGTGAAGATGGCCTTTGTGTTGGTATGTCAACTGTATTCCGTACTGTACATCACTACATAGATACATGTTTATTTGTGTATCCATTTACTTTTTATTAATTATATCGTACATGCTGCTTGAAGTCCGTTATGAAAGTATTGTTGGTTGTATCTTGATGACTGGTATTATATATTCTATAAATCATTGTACTTATTTGCCTCACTTCGTGCAAGCATTCATTATTGCTCGCATCTGTTGTATGCAATGTCTGTTTGAAAAAGATTTTTGACATGGTCCTTGTGGTATATAATCTTTCTGCAATACATAAGTACATACTTCGTGGTTTATATTTGAAAGTGACTTTGCCATTCATTTCTTTTCAGCCTCATAAAGAGAATATGACATGGACGAACTCAAGTGCGCAAGGCATCCGACTTCTTGATTTGTGTTCTAAGCTACCTGAGTCGTGATCACAAAAGTAGTTCCAAAATGCTGAATTACAATTAACAGAGCTCATGAAATAAACAAGTAGTCCAAAACCTGACAATGTCTTCAGTAATTCATATCCTGCATCTCACAGTCCCACATGTGTATAATTATAGCTTGTTTATTTGTTTGTTTGTTTTGTACGCGGGCATAATTCCAGCTGTATCACGGCTGCAAGACACGAAAACCAATGTTCCACGCCGTCGGGGTACACTGACACACAATCATCAAAGTCACATCCTGACCACCCGATCCCCATTTTAATCTGTTCTTCCGACAGCCAATGGGGAAAGGGGACCTCTTCAGAACCAAATCACCTTAGGGATTGCGAAAATAGAGGAGTGTGGACCTGCCCACCAAGGTGCAATGTGGTGTGGTATCGTGAACGCTGGTCTTTTTCAATTGTACAGTCAGGTAACCCATTACTCTTATTCAAAGAGGGGCGGTCGGGTAGCCTAGTGGTTAAAGCGTTCGCTCGTCACGCATAAGACCCGGGTTCGATTCCCGACATGGGTACAATGTGTGAAGCCCATTTGTGGTGTCCCCCGTCGTGATATTGCTGGAAAATTGCTAAAAGCGGCGTAAAACCTTACTCACTCTCCCACTCTCTCATTGACATGCGGAAACTGGCCACAGCTATTGTTTTAGCTAGTTGTTTGTGACGGGTGCTACCGGTGAAGCAGGCTACGCTCAACTCTCCGCAAACACCTGCTGTTATTATCACTATTTTATAGTGATTCATACACACGCATGCTTACGACAGAATCGGAAACGTCCATTTGATATTTGTCTCCTGTATTTAGACAGTGTAACAGGCATTTGTGAAAATAACTTCAATAACACCAACACACGTTGTCGTAATAAGCTTCAGTGGGTGAGTGATGTGGGGTTTTATGTCTCTTTAAACATTATTACAGGTATATCATTGTGGGGGGAATCAGTAACGCGTGTTGAAGACGTTTGCCACTTTTGTGAGCTCTATGAGAAGGGGCATGGTGTTGACAAACCAAGGATCATAATTACCAAGTACCAATTACCAGTTTTGGATTTGAACTCAATCAGCGGATCCTGACGCAACTAAGGGACGTTAGTCCGTTCTACGAATTCAAGTCGCATTAAGCGACATGTCCACCAGTGCCCCACACCTTTACACATACGAAAACCAAACCCGTTCCATCATTTTGATGCTTTTGAGTTCCAAGAGTCAAGAATCCGTTACATCATTTGAAAAAGGTCTATATCTGTTTCATTGTCGCCCTCATGATGCTTTGCGGTAAAGGGCGACTTCGCTTGTCGTAAGAGGCGACTAACGGGATCGGGCGGTCAGGCTCGCTGACTTTGTTGATGGACGTCATTGTATCCCAATTGCGTGGATCGATGCTCGTGATATCAATCACTGGATTGTCTGGTCCAGGCTCGATTATTTACAGACCGCCGTCATATAGCTGGAATATTGCTGAGGGCGGCGTTAAACAACAAACAAACAAACAAACACACATTGCGGTAAACAACTCATAACAAGATTTTCATTATATGGTTTACGGATCTACATAACAAAAGTAGGGTCGATCGTCGAACATCCTCGAGTATCCAGTGTTATATAGCTCTAGCTCTAGCTCAGTACCATTCTATTAAAATAAATGACCTGGTCCTGACCTCAGATATCCTGGGATGGTCGAAATAGAACAATAGGGTTCTGTTGTATGATAATGTATTATACTGATGGCATGACCTGTAGATAAACACCAATTTCTTAAACACGTGCTTTAACATGTGCTATTTTATCTTTGCCTTTGTATTTCCTTTAAAGATGTTGGCTACAATAGTTCGTGCGCGCCTCAGTTCACGCCGTTGCACGCGAGTTTACCGTGACGAATTACATCCCTTGACGCGCCCTGTCTTCTACATAATTGGTGGTAGAAGCAACGACATGTCCGTTTATGATTGTGGAAACCTGCAACATGTACCTTTGCTATCCTTTCCAAACATGAGCCGATAAGTAATAAAAAATAACTGTTCCAATGCATCTCTGAATTTTCAGATTCAGTGGGAAAACAGCGTGTAGAGTTCCCACACATTATTTTATTAACTTGGCACATTTTATTCTCCTACCTGAATTTCTAAAATATTCTTTCTTTCTGTTTTTGGTACGAGAAGCATAGCTATTTATGATGAATTAATTGCGGGTTTTACGCCCTGAATTTCTAAAATATTCTTTCTTTCTGTTTTTGGTACCAGAAGCATTAGCTATTTATGATTAATTAATTGCTATTAATGGATAAATGGAAAGCATTGTAGAACATCAAACCTGCCTATTATGTTATATCTAAACAATACTCAATGACAAGTATAATACGTGATTGATTATATCTAGATAATGAGTTATCTCCCTTTCGGGTATCAGGATTGACGCCCCTAGCTTTCTTTGGGCATGCAAATAGTCAATATTTTGCGTGGAGACCTACAGATTTTTTCTAAATTTATTATGCTTGGTAGATATTGTACGTTATGCGTGAAAATGGTGACTCTATAGTGGGTTTTGATCTTCTAAATAACTATTTACATGAGTACTTGCTCCTTTGATACCCGAACCACATTAAATATGTTGCTATTTCCCCTCGATTGTTTCTATTTTTGGTCCTTTTTTCTCCATACTTGTATGTAGTTAATCAACTTAAATAGAAATAAATACTACAAAGTAAGTTTATTTACACTATTAGATTAATGTGTTTCAAGGAGTCATCTAAAGCATTTTTTTATAGTAATGGTATATCATGTCATTTGAGGCCTACCCCACTATACGCGGGTGCCACCTTCAAGAAAATATAGCGTGGAAAGGTATTGTTGGGTTTTTTTATTCGGTACAAGTATACTATACACTCTCTTCATGTTACATCTCAGAGCGTTGTAGTGGGTTTCACTTATTGTGTCCAACGTCTTTAAGATCAGTTTTACATGAGATTGGATACTAAGTACTATGTTTCAACATAATTGCATGCATGACAATCCGTATTTATTAGGAAAAAAAACTTTCGTAAAAATATTAGGTAGGGTCAAATGGAGTTTAACATCGCGTCCAAAATTATTGCACTAACATAGCGACGCGTGTGTGTGTGTGTGTGTGTGTGTGTGTGTGTGCTTGTACTAGTCCGGACTGATTCCGATTTTTTATAGTGCCGGCCCACTGAGATACCATGCCACAGTTTAACATAAATACCCCAATCAGACATAGTATACTGACTCCAAGCCGATTAGTCCCTGTTTTAGGTTACACACAACCAAATGTTTTCCCATAGACTTCTATAGTAACGTTATGATTTTTTTTTAAATAACTAAGCATTCAACAGCTATTACCTGTACGTGTGTGCACAGTTTGGCCTTAGAGCAGCAATAAAAAAAATAAAAATGACTAGCTTATCCAGCTCCTTTTCCGAGTACCGGAAGCTAAACACACCACCCCCAGTTTCGCACCAAATGTCACCTACTTGAAAATAGCTGTGGTCACATTCAGCATAAGTCATCATGTTGAAAAAGACAGTACTAAATATAGAAGAACATGGTCAGTTTTAATAACTGGATGGATGTACATTTGAAAGACATAAAAATCTTACAGAATATCCTCCAATCACAGCCTGCAGATATCTCTCGATCTGCACTGAAGGCTCCCTACGAAAACCGCACTCTCCAAACTGGTACTGATTTGGTGTAGTAGAACCTGTAGCCCCTTAATGTCGCGCGCCAGACAGAGTAACAGTACTTTTAACGTCTTTTGGTATGACGCGGCCGGGTATCGAACCCCCGACCATCTGTTCTCTGAGCGGGCGCTCTACCACAAGACCACGGCGGCGGTGTAAAAATATCAGGATAAACTATGTGACGCAAAATGAGACCTCGATGATCCGGAAATATCATGTCATTCATGTCTTAGACCATGGATAGAAACGGAATTTGTGGGAACTGATTCATTTCGCTAACAGATGACCTGTCAGAGGTCTCATGTTCAATCACAATTTGGCAGTCAGAAATAAAGTTCTTTGTCGACTTACAGAAATTTTATTATCATATAATGGACAGGTTTTGTCGACTTAATTACTGTTATTATCATATAATGGACGTTGTTAAGATGCGATAAACTGATCCGATAAATATGCAAATGAGGTCACCTTGGAGGAACTACTTTTAAGATGCAATGTCTGCTTAATCAGTACATTGTTGTCTGATGTTTCTCGATGTTCGTGTTTTTGTAGACAAATGTGGATGCAAATGATTTGGCACTATATTATTATTGGGGCAATTCACGCAGACATACGCGGTTTCTGTAGTTACTTAATTGAGGGAAATTACGTCTTAAACACCAATTATTTTAAGAATAATATCATATGATAAAGGGATTATTATCGTCGTGCATTTCCGTATCACAAATATCAAATATTAGGAATAAAAACTATGTATTACGCTCGCCAAAGGCTCTGCTGTTGAAGCTGAAAAGTGTTCTGAAACGGCCCCTGAACTGAAGTGCAGCCAGCGTTCAAGGCACGCAGACGTCAAAGCGTCAAGTAATCGCTTCCCGTTTCTCGATGGGAGAGCTGTGCAGGATATTGTGGATGGAAGCGCAATACAATCTGGTGTGTTAAAATATTTCGACGTAAGACATTGGAAAATACAGAATAACCATAAACAACACAAATATTCCTACGCGTTTTCGATCAACATTAGTGAGAGTTACCTCCCTTTCACCAGCATGGCCAATGTGTCGTCGGGAAAATATAACGAGATTTACAATAGTTTGAAACGTATGCGTTAGCTATTTTAACATACAATGATAATAATATAAACATAAATTAAAGAAACAAATTAGGCCCACACACTGTTGCATCTGTACCCTGAAATAGGTCAAACATTCACTTCTGGAATTGCTTAGTGTCCAAGGTTTTGGACCAGGCTCCCAACATTGTTCATACCGATTACACCGACCACTCTGAATAGTAGACCACGAGGCCCCTTATTGTAAACGTTATTGGCAGCATGGACGAAATTCTAACAACTCTGGTCCCAATAAAGTTTAAATCAAGTTCACGTTTGACTTGACTTGTTTCTGTGACCACCTCAGCTTCCGAAGAGTTGAGTTGATACTGTCTTTGATAGGGGATATACAATATATACGTCTTCACTAAATTAATTATTCGTATCTTGAAGAAACACATACCTACAGATTATAAAAAAGACAAAAAAGAGGGTAAAGGGTTGAAATTATGAATGTTTTGTGTTTTTCTATATTTTCGGACAAATGGTCGTGAAAACGAGACCACCACTTTGATAAAAAATCATTAGTGGAGTACCTTGAAACCAGTGATCGATCTCACGGCACCCCATGTCATGCGCGTTGTCGAAGCTAAGCGCGTGGATACGTTTTGCTAACGACACCTTAGTTAATGATTTTCTCCTAAACAACCATTCAGTCTAACTTCTGGAAAATCTTACAAACAAAATACGTATCTCCTAAATGGAGACTTCTCCAGTCTACACCAACTACTAAATATACAGCTGCCAGGTTGCACGTGGCTTGTTATTCAACGGCTTTGGTTGCCCAATTCAGCAAATGCAAGTTGGTCATTCAACAGTGTGTTCGAGCAGATTGTCTCCATGTTGTATAATGCATTTGAATATAAAACACCTCGAACCTAGCAACTCATTTTGTTGTCCAAGATGTGTGCATATGGTATCAATATCAGATGAACATGATTAAGGAACGTCATAGGCACTTGGTAGAAACAGGGTGTTGATTTCCAATAAGGATTTACTTAAAGATTAATGAGTGTTGAGTCACAATGTGGATCTACTTGAACATAAAAATGCGTTTATTCACTTAAAGAAAATAATTAAAAAAATAAACAAGTGTTGATTCACAATTTGGATATACTTAAAGATAAAAAGGTGTTGATTCAGAATAAGGACATATCTAAGGATAAAATGTGTTGACTAATAATAAGGATATACTTAAAGACAAAATGGTGTTGATTCAGAATAAGGATATATCTAAGGATAAAATGTGTTGACTAATAATAAGGATATACTTAAAGACAAAATGGTGTTGATTCAGAATAAGGATATACTTTAAGCTACAGAGGTGTTAATTCCCAATAAGGATATACTAAAAGATAGATGGGTGTTGAGTCACAATGAGGATCTACTTAAAGATAAAAAGGTGTTGATTCAGAATAAGGACATATCTAAGGATAAAATGTGTTGACTAATAATAAGGATATACATAAGATAAAAATGTGTTGATTCAGAATAAGGACACATCTAAGGATAAAATGTGTTGACTAATAATAAGGATATACTTAAAGATAAAAATGTGTTGATTCAGAATAAGGACATATCTAAGGATAGATGTGTTGACTAATAATAAGGATATACTTAAAGATAAAAATGTGTTAATTCAGAATAAGGACATATCTAAAGATAAAATTTGTTGACTAATAATAAGGATATACTTAAAGACAAAATGGTGTTGATTCAGAATAAGGATATACTTTAAGCTACAGAGGTGTTAATTCCCAATAAGGATATACTAAAAGATAGAAGGGTGTTGAGTCACAATGAGGATCTACTTAAAGATAAAAATGCGTTTGTTTGCTTAAAGAAAATAATTAAAAAATAAAAAAGTGCTGATTCACGAGACGGATACAATTAAAGACAAAATGGTGTGGATACAGAATAAAGGTATAATTCTTAATAATGTTAATTCCCAATAAGGATATACTAAAAGATAAAAGGGTGTTGATTCACAATGAGGATCAACTTATACATAAAAATGCGTTTGTTCACTTAATAACATAATCCATAAATAAAAAAAGTGCTGATTCACAATAACTATATATTAAAAGATCAAAAAAGTGTTGATTCAGAATAAGGATATACTTAAAGATTAAAGTTGCTGGTTCACAATTTCTTAAAGAAGGGCCGGTCGGGTAGCCTAGTGATTAAAGCGTTCGCTCGTCACGCCGAAGACCCGGATTCGATTCCCGACATGGGTACAATGTGTGAAGCCCATTTCTGGTGTCCCCCTGCCGTGATATTGCTGGAATACTGCTAAACGCGGCGTAAAACATTACTCATTCACTCACTTAAAGATGAAAGGGTGTTGAATCGTAAAGACGAGATAAAATCAAATTCAAGATAAACAAAAGCATGAAGCTCAATGTATATTACAAAATAGAACAGGGATAAAACGCATAAGAGAGGTAATCGATTTTCCGGTACTTCAATCCATGTCAGGATTCACTGATCAGGGATTAAAACCCGATCATGAAAGTTTGTCTGTCAACATGACCCTCGTAATTGAAGGTTTCAACCAAGTGGTTAACGTCAAGAACCTATCTTACTTGATGCAGCGTTAAGGAATTATCACTCACGTGCAGGACTTTCCTAACATATCAAGCTGTCACGATAGGAGATACCTGAACAACTGTTAAAAGCGGCGTTAAAATCCCGCTTCATATTGTTTGTGGTGTTAAAGTCACAGAATTATTACATCTGCAAGCTATGCAACCTTTTAACATACCAGTGAGCTGAGGAAACCTACAGTTTAAATATGCGTATTTAATATATCCAACCCTTTTTAGGTTTCAGATACATAGAAGTTATGCTTGGGGAATTGGGAAGAAGAAGAAGAAGAAGAAGAAGATCAATAACTACTATAAAACCCTTTCCATAATCATAATCATAATCTAAATTAAAAGCAACCAAAACCATTTCCATAATCATAAAAAAATATTCTAAAAGAGTCCATCGTACCATCCCTACTACATCACAAGTTATTTGCAAATTTGTCATGAACACAAAGATATTATACTGTTCACTATTACACAAATGTATTATGGATACTGAAAGCCTTCGACACACTATGTGTTGATTGGATTACCTCCTTCCTTTTATCTATGCAGACCGTTTGAACATTCTGTAACCTTAAGAAAAATAACCGTAGACGTGATCTTTTGTTTACATCCATCCCCTGTGTGACACGTAATCCTATCATAATCAATGTAACTATCATCAACCAGAGTTTTTAATCCAACTCATTGCTGAATATATTTTAATATTTGCTAGTATCGCGCACCAGTAGCTAAAGTGATGACGTAAATCCTGCTGGGGTATCATGCAGGAGGCAGAGGTACTGTAGGTCCTCATGATCCCCTGCGAGGTGGCCTAGCTTTGGCCTAGTTACTGGTGGCCTATAGCCCGTGTTTTAAAACCGTATACATGATATTGTTATGCTCAAATATGTTTCATGAATTCTTTTTAAATATTATATGCTCAAATATGTTTCATAAATTGTTTTTAAATATAACTTTCCTAAATTGTAAATATATTAAATTGGTCTCGTCGCTATATGGCTGAAATAATGCTGATGCGACTCACTCACTCACATCCAGCCAATATCACCTTGCTTGGGGTATGGCTCTCAATCAGACAAACATGTGGCATAGTCAACTTCCACGCCCTGTTTTGGATATTGCTCTCCATCAGACACGCGTGTGGCATAGTCACTTTCCGCTCTTTGCTGTTGGTAAGTCGCTTCACTAGACACACAGTCAATATAACCGTCTCCTAGAGTTTCATATGGGTCCTCTCCCTTGTCTGTCAATTCGATGTCAGCATAGGTCTTGTCCTTAGGCCTTTTCTGTTTCCTGTAAGCGATTTAATTTTTGGGTTACAGTTGTTATCAAATATCATTAAGTATAACCTGTTAACTGTGATACCAAAATGATATTCAAATTAATAGTTTTCCAGATGGAGAATCATGTCATATAAAAGTTGATATGGAGTAGTTTTCTTTATCACTTGACGATATATTCTGTAGTTCAAATCGAAACGAACCAGCATTGTGTGACATCTCCACTGCAATTTGTAATTTCGTAAGAACTGTAAACAATGGATCGGATTGTCAGAGTTGGTGACTCGACTGATTATGTGTCATCACGTTCCAGTCACTGGTTTGTCTGATCGAGACTTACAGGCTGCCGATACATAGCCGGACTATTGCTATCTTTGGCGTTACACAACACTCTTCGCTCGCCCGCCTCTCATGTACATACTTGATAACAACGACAACAACCACAGCAACAATGATTGCGATGACAACAAGTCCAGCTGCAGTTATTCCGACCAGAACGCCTGAAATATGTTTTAAGTATGCAAAGGCATAATTACTAGATTCAGTATATTTTAAGTTATCGCTTCAAAGACACCTATTTATGAAAATAAGCTTTGAAAAGTGTCTTCATACTCAAAGATTTTATGAACACGAAGTTTACCAAAAGTTAACATGTAGAACTACAAACATGCATAAGTTTTTCCGGGGTGGTTATAATGATTATTTCAGTGTAGAAAAAAACAAAATACTGTCATTAGACAGGCTAGTTTTACAGGAAATTCAGCTTGAAATTATATATTAGGACAAAGTCAGGATGATTTTAAAACAGATACTTTATTGGCCTTACTTGGGGATGACATTACATCGTCGTTGCCTTGCGTGGATTTTTCTCTGCCAGTTGTTCCGTCAGTTATATAGAACAGTAAATCATGGCGTTAATGAAATTTGTAAAATATATGAGTGTGAGAGAGCGCAAATCGGTTGTGGCATGGAACTTTGCTGAAATTGCAAAATCCGGGCATGGGTAATTGAACAGTTTCCAGAGAAAGACATGCAATGATATGTCCATGATGATATGAAGTCAATATAGAAATCCACGTATCTTTTCCGAAATCATAATGAAAAAGCTTAAAACTCGATTTGCTGGTAACACAGTTACATACCATCACGATGTTAATACAATCACTTCAATGGTGTCGAAGTAGAATTGTCGGATTCTCTTTGCTAATTCACTGGCGCTGCTGGCCTTGGCGTGCCAGAAACATGATTGTGGGTTCGAATACCAGATTGGCTAATGTGATATTCATTCGTTAATGGGGTAACAAGAGGATATGAGATGACGTTTCATCGTCTTTCCATTCATGGATTGATCTTGCTCCGACAGTTAATGAACAGAAAAATCATGAGTTTTAATGACATTTTTAAGAAAGTGCACTGTCGTTCATAAATGTTCATATTCTTAAAGACCGCCTCCCTGGTCTAGTGGTAGAACGTCCGCCCGGAGAACGGAAGGTCCGGGGTTCGATCCCCGACCGCGTCATACCAAAAGACGTTAAAAGATGGTACTTGTTGTTACCCTGTCTGGCGCTCGGCAGTAAGGGACTGGTCGGCTCGGAGTCAGTATACTGTGTCTGAGTGGGATATTCATGTTAAACTGCGGCATGGTATCTCAGTGAGCTAGCACTATAAATCGGCATCAGTCCGGACTAGTAGAAGCAGCCACACAAATACACACACGTACATGCACGTCGCTATAAAAGGGGAATAATCTTGGACGCGACGTTAAACTCCATTTCACCTCACCTCACATTCTTAAATATATAATATATAGCTAATCGGTTGTTGCATGCAACGGTAAATTCATAAATATGATCATGATCATGTAAAATCGAGAACCTATCCTTTGCTGATTCTATTTGCACACTCACTAGTATTGCACGTCAATCCGGACCAGCCCTTTAGGCATCCCGATGGACAAAGTCCTGAGTTTCTGTCACAGGATGTACCTCCAGCGCAGTAGCCACAGGACACACATGATGCACCATACGTTTTGGGTGGACATGCTGGAAATACATGGTTCGAAGATGTGACCTTTCCGCTTTTGATTACGTAACGGCAATATGTACAAATCTAACAAGTTATTATGAGAATAATAACAGCTGTCATAAGGTACCTGAGTCACATTTGTCTCCGGTCCAACCAGCCTGACATCCGATAGGGCAGACACCTGACACCTTGTCACAGGAAGCATCTCCAGCACAGTAGCCACAAGACGCACAGGACGCACCATATGTTTTGGGAGGACATGCTGGTTAAAGATTAAAATCAGATCTGAATCAAATGAGAGCATTATAAGACCGAAGTGTTTCATCAAAACCCTAGAAATTCGATTCAAACTGTTCAGAAAGATTACACAGACGGATCACACAACATATATCAGTCTTCTCGAATGTCCTTTGAAGCACTGTCCAAGTCTACCAGAGCATGTACTTTTGGCCACATAGTGCGATTCAGACGATTATTTCGCCGAGTGTTAAGAATTATTTGAGGAAATGCCATGGCAAATCGCACTTGTAGGTAACGTTCAGAAGAGGGCTTCTAACTAAAGGGTATGCCGAGTTAGCTGCTTATTTATTTTCCCTTATTAACCATCACATATGTCTAAACAGACCTCTGTCACATTTGTCACCGGTCCACCCAGTCTGACATCCAGAAGGACAGACACCAGACGCCTTGTCACAGGAAGCACCTTCTGCACAGTAACCACAAGACACGCAAGGTGCACCGTACTTGTTGAATGGGCATGCTGAAATAACATCATGATTTTCACAATTTAATTACTGTGTGTTTTTATTTGTTTAGCTGAGAAACTGAACTGTTATCGTATACACATGGTAGGTGTTACATATCAGCTAAAGTTAAAGATGATTCTACACGTTGACATGTCCATTCCTCTTCTGTACTGTATTCCAAATCTCCATAAAAATCAGTACAATGAGAGATGTATTGCTGAGTCCAATAAATGACCACCAAATCCCGTCTCAATGATTAACCATAATCCATAAGACAACCAAGGAAAGACTTTCTTTATATTCAGAAAAAGTATTTCAGACATATGGAATTAATACCATGTGGATTCTCAAAAACGCAGAGTATTTGCTTGACTTTTTACAATCTCAGAAAAGAACTAGGTTCAGTTGTCAAAACATTTGATTTTTCAACTTTATACACCATTATCCCACATGACAAACTTTCAAGTCCAGGTCAATTTGTCTAACATGAAAGCAAATGCCATCTGAAGTTTAATGAGAAAACAATATGTGAAATGCTAGACTTCCTCATTCATACATCTAATTTGGAGGTAAGACATTTCGGCAAGAAGTAGGCATCCCCATGGGCACCTGTTGTGCTCACTTATTGTTGATCTGTTTCTTAATGCATGTGAATCAGAATTTCTGCTCGGATTGGCAAAGTCAAAAGAAGGTATTTTGGCCCGGAAGATTCAGGTATATCGATGATCTGACATCGTTCAATAACCACCAAACAGCCAATTCCCTTCCTCCGATTTACCCACCTGAACTAGAAATAGAGGAGACCAGTGATACCACCTCATCTGTTTCATATTTAGATCTTTGCAGAAAGATTCAAAGAGACAAAACTCTCTCCACAAGACTGTATGATAAGAGCGATGACTTCAACTTTCAAATCATCAGCTTTCTCTTTATGTCGAGCAATATTCTAGCAGCTCTAGCCCATGGTGTCACATTTCACAGCTGCAAAGAGCGTCATACGACGCTTGCTCAGAAGTTGTTGGATGAAGGTTACAACAACGCATTTGACGCATCAGTGACAAGAATTATTTCCGCTGCAATTCCCTATTTTGACTTGTACCATATGTTCCCGTTATTTTCAGGTGAACAATTGACTTGCCTTTGCATGTGTTTGAGACGGTTGCCACCGGCTGGGCAGGATACGCTCATGTATAATTATTGATTATATCAGGCATGAGCAAATCTGTATGAGAGAGTGGATGAGTGTGTTTTTCAGAAATATTATACCATAATCAAGACGGCAGACGCCAGAAATGGACTTCATATTTTGTACCCATGTGAGGAATCTAAACAACGGCCTTCGTCATGAGGAGCGAATGCTTTTACCATAGCGCTACATCACCGGCCAAAGACTGTATGTTTTCAAGAAAATTACTTCAATATACTGTCACATATGTTACTACCTGTTAATAATCAAGCATTTAAACGTTTCTTATTGCAAAAAAATCACCACGTAATCAGGTGGAACACCTCTGCTTTCTTGATGTACCTGAATCACATTTGTCTCCAGTCCAACCAGCCTTGCATCCAGCGGGACAGACACCTGACACCTTGTTACAGGAAGCATCTCCAGAACAGTTGCCACAAGACATACAATGAGCACCGTACGTGTTAGCTGGACATACTGAAATGTTAATATCGTTTTTCATGATTACCAATAAGCATCAGCAAAACCGTACGTGTGAGAGTTTCGTTTCACCCGTCTTGAACAATATTCTACCTATATAACCATGTTTCTATGTACGGAATCTAACCAGGGTGTTCAGTATTACCAGTTAGCGCTTTAATCATAAAGTTACCCCACCGCCCGAAATCTGTATGAAAGGAAACGCTCGTGGTTTTCAAAGAAATTGCTTTTGATGACATTGTCATGGGTAAAAGTGTTTGAGTGAGTCTTTCAGATTGATTTATACTGTTTCGGTATGATCAGCGCAGTATCATAGACAAGTATCTTAGCACTCAGTTGATAATATTACATGATATTGGTACTGGTGCGTTTGATTTAAATAATTATAATGCACATCAACAACAGTAAAAGAATAGGGAACACCTCGGCTATCTTGATTGTACCTGAATCACATTTGTCTCCAGTCCATCCAGCCTGGCATCCAGTGGGACAGACACCTGACACCTTGTCACAGGGAGCACCTCCATAACAATTACCACAAGAAACACATGGCGCACCGTACGTGTTGGCTGGACAAGCTGAAATTTTATCGTATTTTATGATTACTTATAGGCATGGGCAAAAACCGTTTGAGTGAGTCTTTCAGACTGATTTATACTGTTTCGGTATGATCAGCGCAGTATCATAGACAAGTATCTTAGCACTCAGTTGATAATGTTACATGATATTGGTACTGGTGCGTTTCATTTAAATATTTTATAATGCACATCAACAACAGTAAAAAACATAAGGAACACCTCAGCTATCTTGATTGTACCTGAATCACATTTGTCTCCGGTCCATCCAGCCTGGCATCCAGTGGGACAGACACCTGACACCTTGTCACAGGGAGCACCTCCATAACAGTTACCACAAGATACGCATGGCGCACCGTACGTGTTGGTTGGACAAGCTGAAATGTTATCACGTTTTAAATGATTACGAATAGGCATCATCAAAACCGTACGTGTGAGTGTGTCAGTGTGCTAATGCAATGTCCTTAGCAATATTCCACCATTAGTCCAGCATTACCATGGACGGAGAAGCCAGTAATGGGCTTCAAACATTGTACCCATGTGAGGATTTTAAACGGGGCCTTAAGCGTGAAGAGCGAATGCTTAACATCCACGCTACACCACCGAACCAAAACTGAACAAAAGGCAATATTTGTGGTTATCAAGGGAAGGTGGACTTTATCATCACTTGAACTGACTGCAAATGATGTAAGTAACTGTAGAAAATTAAAAGCTTGATGTTTAAGTTTCTAAATGTAAACATATCGTAACGTTATTATTAGGAACACCGCTGCTTTCTTGATGTACCTGAATCACATTTGTCTCCGGTCCAACCAGCCTGGCATCCAGTGGGACAGACACCTGACACCTTGTCACAGGAAGCACCCCCAGAACAGTTACCACAAGATACGCATGGTGCTCCGTACGTGTTTGGTGGACAAGCTGAAATGTTATCGCGTTTTAAATGATTACGAATAGGCATCATCAAAACCGTACGTGTGAGTGTGTCAGTGTGCTAATGCAATGTCCTTAGCAATATTCCACCATTAGTCCAGCATTATCATGGACGGAGAAGCCAGTAATGGGCTTCAAACATTGTACCCATGTGAGGATTTTAAACGGGGCCTTAAGCGTGAAGAGCGAATGCTTAACATCCACGCTAAACCACCGAACCAAAACTGAACAAAAGGCAATATTTGTGGTTATCAAGGGAAGGTGGACTTTATCATCACTTGAACTGACTGCAAATGATGTAAGTAACTGTAGAAAATTAAAAGCTTGATGTTTAAGTTTCTAAATGTAAACATATCGTAACGTTATTATTAGGAACACCGCTGCTTTCTTGATGTACCTGAATCACATTTGTCTCCGGTCCAACCAGCCTGGCATCCAGTGGGACAGACACCTGACACCTTGTCACAGGAAGCACCCTCAGAACAGTTACCACAAGATACGCATGGTGCTCCGTACGTGTTTGGTGGACAAGCTGAAATTTTATCGTATTTTATGATTACTTATAGGCATGGGCAAAAAGTGTTTGAGTGAGTCTTTCAGATTGATTTATACTGTTTCGGTATGATCAGCGCAGTATCATAGGCAAGTATCGTAACACTCAGTTGATAATGTTACATGATATTGGTACTGATGCGTTTGATGTGAATAATTATAATGCACACCAAAAACCGTAAAAGAATATGGAACACCTCAGTTATCTTGATGTACCTGAATCACATTTGTCTCCAGTCCAACCAGGCTGGCATCCAGCGGGACAGACACCTGACACCTTGTCACAGGAAGCACCCCCAGAACAGTTACCACAAGATACGCATGGTGCTCCGTACGTGTTTGGTGGACAAGCTGAAATGTTCTCGCGTTTTAAATGATTACGAATAGGCATCATCAAAACCGTACGTGTGAGTGTGTCAGTGTGCTAATGCAATGTCCTTAGCAATATTCCACCATTAGTCCAGCATTACCATGGACGGAGAAGCCAGTAATGGGCTTCACAGATTGTACCCATGTGAGGATTTTAACCGGGGCCTTTAGCGTGAAGAGCGAATGCTTAACATCCACGCTAAACCACCGAACCAAAACTGAACAAAAGGCAATATTTGTGGTTATCAAGGGAAGGTGGACTTTATCATTACTTCAACTCACTGCAAATGATGTAAGTAACTGTAGAAAATAAATGTAAACATATCGTAACGTTATTATAAGGAACACCGCTGCTTTCTTGGTGTACCTGAGTAGTTGTAAGCATCGGTATGGGACCGCTCCTGGCTTCTGATTGGTCGAGAGGATCACGTGACCTCTGTGACGTCACTTCCGGTCACGTGACCTGCTCAGTGCATGATGGGACTTGCGTGCGCATCCAAGATGGTGGCACATCCGTTTCCGGTGGCGTGCGCCTCCAGGATAGCGTCGCATCCGTGAGAAAACCCGGAGAAGCGCACGTAAAAGGTGAACAGGATCGACATTGAAAGAAGCGCGTCAAAAATCTTTTGTTGTTGTTGTTGTTGTTGTTGTTGTTCTACACATAGACGTGGGGGGTGGTGGTGGTGGTGAAGGGAGGGAGGGAGGAGGCGGGGGTGGGTTCACGGTGTGGGGGTTGGAGGGTCGTCAAAGCAAAGGAGGAAAGTTGTCTTTCGGGAGAGATGGGTGGCCCTGAAAAGGGCCGTTGGAAAACAAACTGGAAACAAGCTGGACAAGGGTTGTCTCCTTGATTACATTACTTTCCTTGATCTCGATACTAGATCATAATACGGACCACCCCAACAGTCGGGTATGTCAATTCCGCGTTGAATAGTTTGTTGTAATGCTGACATAGCCTCAGACTTGTTCTTAAACCAGTGTGGGCTCTGCGATAGGATCGTCTCCGATTCACCCCGTGGGTAGCCCACTATTGTCCACGAATAGACTTTCATCCTCCGCTGGCATTGTTGACTGTTGGTCTGGCACGTCAGACAGCTGCATCGAGACGACATGGTTGATCTCTCCTTCAGTGCTCGACTGTGACGGTGTGCGTGGCTTCGCTCTTTTTATAGGAGAGGCACTGACACCCTGCTTCCTGATTGGTCGAAAACGCATCGTGCTGATGGGTTCGTTCTGACACTTGGTCTGAGCCCCGGTTTTCTAAATCGGACCGACCGTTGTGTTTCTTTTTTTTATAAGAAATTGTATGGGTCATGGGATAGATAGGAAGAAAAAAAATAACAGATAAAAGAGAAAGGTCATGCTTGAAAGGATCAGTTGCCTGGTGTCAGTCAGCCAGAACACAGGATTGCATCACATGATGATGAAGAGGTCATGACCAGCCCTTTGACCCTACGCCATCCTTTTACGATGTTCATTGCGGGACCTACGGGATCAGGAAAAAGTTCCTTTGTGAAATCATGTATGGAGCAGATGCATCGCCCCGAGGTGTTGGATACGTCACCCCATCGCATCGTGTGGGTGTACAGCGAATGGCAACCGCTTCATCATGAACTGGAAGAGATGGCAGACCGGTTAGGGGTCGCTCTTGAGTTTGTCCACAGCATGAAAGAAGCGGATCGTGCCTTGCCCAAAAAAGGGGTGGCCCCACATTGGCTGGTCATCGATGATTTGCTGGGGGACAATACGAAAGAAGAAGAAACCGAAGTGCTGCGATGGTTCACCAAGAAAAGTCATCACCGAAACACATCTGTGCTGTATCTCACTCAGAACTTGTTTGCTCAATCGCCGCAACATCGCACCATCCGTCTGAATGCTCACTACATGGTCCTCTTTAAAAATCCGAGAGATGCATCGCAGATCGACAGTCTGGCTCACCAGGTGTTTCCAGGCAAAGTTCCTTCTGCGTGAAGCTTATGAAGACTCTACCCGAGAGCCTTACACTTACCTGTTCTTGGACTTGAAGCCAACCACGTTGCAAGACCATCGCGTACGCGCCCGCCTGTTTTCGAGATCCGAATTACCCCTCGTGTATGTCCCGATCCTATGAGATGAAGAGACTTTCATAAAAGGAGGTGAACCCTCAGACCTTCCTTCAGTTGACCTACATCCATCATGGGGCAAAGACGGAAACAGGTTCATCCTACGAAGGGAAAGAACAAAGACAAAGAGATGGTGAATGATGTCCATGACAGTATGGTCTCCCCCTCATCGCTACAGGGACTTGTGACCTCTGTATTTCACAAGACTCCTTCACCTCCAGGATCGTCTCCCTCTTCAATGGTACCTGTGAACATACATCGTCAGCAGCAGCACCTTCGCCACCCTCGTCACCACATGATCTTCAACGCTTTCAACCTCTGCAACAGCAACAGCAGCAGCGGCAGAAGTCCACGCCAGGTCCGTCTTACTCTTCGATGGTACCCTTGAACAAGCATCGTCAGGAACAACAACGGCCTTCCTCATCAGCACCCGTTCCCACTCGATCTTCAACGCTTTCAACGTCTGCAGCAGCAGGAGCCCCCACAAAGGAAGAAAAAAGACAAGAGACCGTCTATTTTTCCGACAAGGGATGCGACAACCCTTGCCGTCAAAGGAAGAAATCGTCTTTTGCAGTAGTTTGCGATTGTCGTGCGGAACCTGAGAGCAGGACACATCCCATTGAAAGCTCAACATAAGACGTGGTTGCAGAGACATAATGATACCCTGACTAAAATTGTCAATCCACGTCTGCCTATGGATGAACGTCTTGACTACCTGATGCAACGCAGTGGTAGTGGAACACTTGCAGGGGTCTTGACACGCATTCAGTTGCAATGGCAACATTATCTTCAAGCACCACTCCTCAAACAGGGTAACACCAGGCGCCACCGATCTACAACAACAACAACGATGACTACTAAGCCAAAAGTAAAGGCTCATGAAAATGTCATGAAAGCATATCAAGCTGATGCTCTCAGACGATTGGTACACATGCGGACCCAAAGAAAGTCCAAGAAGGCAGATCAACAGTTGCACCTCCCTCCTGCCACTGCCTGATAAAAGAGAGAAGCTGCAGATCAGGTGACTCATTCAGGCTAACACCTCCATGCAAGAAAGATGTCTCAGTGCCTCAGGAAACAGAAACACGCTCTGTGTCATTTGTGTGCTGCCGCTCCAGCGATGCGCAAAGCCATTCTCAAACATGCTCCTACTGATCTCATCCATGCCCTTTGTGAATGTGTGGTGAACTTGTATGCAGGCAATATTCCCATGACCACGACGCAACGTCAAAACTTGCAACGACACGGTAAAGTCTTGAATACGCTCATGAAAAAACAAGTACCTCTAAGCAAGAAACGTAAACTTCTTCAACATGGAGGAGGATTATTAGGAGGACTCATACCTCTTATTGGTTCTGCCCTAGCCTCTTTGTTTGGAGGAAAGTAATAAATGGTCTGACACCAGGAAGGTTGGGATCAGTGTGTGGTGTGCCACCATGAAGTACGCACGCAAGATGGTGTTGGTGTCTGAAGACACATGGCAAAGTCTACAGGCCACCAAACAACGTCATTGTCAGACACTTCATACCCCTCTCTTGGAAAAGAAACGTCTCCAAAATTTGGAAGAGATGGACGCGTTGATGCAGAGGTCACAGCAGCCTTTTCACATGCGGGAACAAGAATACAACCAACTGTTGCAACACATGCTAGAGTTGCAGCTCCAACAGCACAACAACAACAACAGCAACAACAACACCATCAAACCACTAAAACCCAAAGTGACACCACCACTACCACCGTCATCAACAATGGACATCACAGGTAGACCTGCCCCTCCTCAACAAGTGATAGACGAAGTGGTCATGAGTGTTCCTAAAGCCATGTCCAGTAAAGCCATGAATTTGATGACAAGGATTCAAAACAATCCCGACTTGAGTTGGACTCCAGAGGGAACCCTGACCGTGGAAGGGAAACCTGTCCCTGGCACACACATGGTGGACTTGATCAACGATTAAGTGCGTCACCGGAAAACCAAAGAGGGACCTGCAGGTTGGACCATTTTGAGTCACCATTTGGCCAACAGTCATGTCCCTCATGAAATAATTGGAAATCCTCAACGATGGCAATGGATGCAGAAGCAGCAGCAGCAGCAACACCATCCTCATGCCACACCAGAAACACCCATAACCCAGTTCTCCCTCCCCACGTTCTCCCCGCAAAGTCACAAAGAGAGAAGAAGAAGAAGGAGGCCGCAGCTGGATCCACAAGCGGAAGAAGAAGAAGAAGAAGAAGATGAGATGCCACCCCCACCTCCTTCGTGGCAACTGGATCCACCAGTGGAGGAAGAAAAAGATGTGATGTCAACCCCATGGTTGATGACTCCACCTCCATCTGATACCAAACAGGACAGAGTCATCAACAGGTGAGGTTCATGGATACCCTTTAGCACCACCTAAGAAAAAATAAATCTCTCCCCTTCTCTATAAAAAGGCCATTCATGTAGGAAGTGGCATCAGTCTGAGAGAAATGAAGTGACAGACCAAGACGCGACAGCGCATTCTTCCCTCTGCTGCTGCTGAAGGGAAACAAAACAAAGGATTTCCTACTTCCCTTTGGACGGCCTGGTTGGAAAAAACTTACTTTCATCCTGAACATCCTACAAGTTTTGGAGGCTGGCGACCTTTGTGGAAAGCAGCACGCATCCACGCTAAAGATGCAAGAACCAGTAAAAGCAAGAAGAAAACCATGCCATCGCAAAGTCAAATCAAGCGTTGGTTGCAAACCAAAAGTACCTACACCTTGCACAAACCAGCCAGACGCTCCTTTCTGAGAGACCACTATTGTGTGGGAGGGGTCGATGAACTGTGGCAAGCAGACTTGAGTGACATGATTGCCTTTCAAGATGACAATGAAGGATTCAAATATCTGCTGTGCGTGATCGAT